TCCATTTCATTAATTGCATAATATAACATAATAATCAATAAAATATTAATAATAAATCAATTTTGATTATTAATTTTAATTATTAATTTTAATTATATTTTTAGTTATAAAGAAATCTGTTGAGAAAAATCTAACAAAATCCTACTAAACATTTTAAATATTTTTTTATTAAATAATGCATTAATTAATTCGTAATTAAGTAACATAATATTAGTTTAAATTATATTAATTAAATTTTATTATAACCTAAAAATAAAATAGATTGATATTTTTAATAAATTTATAATTATAGTCTATATCTTCTCTATTAAAAGAGAAGTACCATTTTTATCTACCATTAAGAAGTCTTACTAGGTTGACATATGGATTTTATAATATTTATTTAAAAAAATATCATGCTTGGTGATGTAAAACTAAAAATCTAATAAAATGAATATTGTTCGGATTATGCGGGTATTTCAAAATTGTAACAATTCATATTGATTTAAATGAATAGTGTCTTTTAATTTGAAATAAAATTAAATAGAAAAAGATATTATTTTATTTATACATTCCAAATCATTATTTTTTACATACCATATTAACTACAATTATCATTATCATTTCTGCATTGTATACGGGTCAAAAATTCATTTTGATATATATATATATGGGAATAAGCTAAAATTTCTTTATATGGTCATTTGCTTTAGGTCACAAAATATTTATCAAGTATAAACAGGTTAAACTAATATATTTGTCATTTTTATTATAAACTAACAAACTGATTAATAGTTTTATTAACAAAAACGAAATCCCGCGCTTTCAAAGAGCGGGTCAAAATCTACAATATTTACAGATATGCCACTAGAATATTTAAAACCTATGATTTTTATTTAATTCATTACAAAATCTATTTAATCCTAACAAAATCTATTTAATCCAACAATATTAATTTTAAGCTTTTTTAAATAACCAAATAACANTCTAACAAACGAGTTAATAATTTTATCAACAAGAAACGGGTCTCTGTCTAGGAATGATTCAAAAACGAATTGGTAAAATATATCTAAAAATAATTTTTATTTAAAAAAATCAATTTTAACCAATATGAAATTATTAAAAATTAATTATCTTATTTCAGTTTTTACAAATCAATACTTTAGATTACCGAATAGAACTCATTATTTTATCGGGTCCCTATAATTTGTTATTTAACTAAAACGAATAAAAAAAGTAAATCCTACACCACACATTAAATTGTACGTAATTTTATTTAATCTATATATGTCGGACCAAACCAAATTATTAACGACAATCGATCTGAACCCGGATACTCATGCCTATACATACTTGTGAATAATCGAACAAGGGCATAAATTTAAAGCAAAAACGGTTGACCCGCCCTCTTTAAGGGCGGGTCAAAATCTAGTTTCTATTATTGAAATATAAAATTAAACTTGCTATTATATTGAATAACATAAGCTACATGCATTTTCAAAATTGCATTTGTAGACTGATCATTTATATTGATGGCATATTTTCAAAAGTTTGGTACAAAATTCTGAATTAACAAATCTTAGATTTTAGAGATCAAAGATTTAAATGAAAAATATTAGTAAATTAAATATCAAAAATTCAATAAAAAATAATACATGAGTTTAATATAACTACATAATTAATTATATACTTAAAAGGTTTATTTTATTAAAAGTGAAATATACATTTATATTTCAAATAATTAAAAAATTAATTAAATATTTAAAAGGTTTGTTTAAGTGAAAAACTAAATATACATTTTTATTTTAAGAAAAATACGAAAGTAATTACATGTTTTAAAAATATTTGTTTTAATAAAAAATGGAAATTTTTTTATATATATATATATATTGTAGATAAAAAGATATGAAAAGATTTTGTTTAGTTGTAATTCAAAGAAAATGTAGAAATATCTATTTGATTTTTCTTAGAATAATTAAAATATTTCAAATATGTATACAAAAATTCATTTAAGCAATTTTCTAAGGAATTATCCATTTAAAAAAAAAACATACATGAATCAAGGTTATGACTTCGATTTTAATAGATAAGATGTCTGTTTGTAAATACTTAAATGTAAAAACATTAACAGAATATTTTTAATCTATAAACTAAACATGGTAAGATAGCTTCTTGGAAAGTTATTCATCGATTTGTCACCACTCACTATGATGATAGTTTCTCGGAAATTTCTAAAAGAAAACAAAATTAAATGAAAATAGCAAAATGGTTGGTTACAGCTAAAGTGAATTGAAGACTTTAAAAGAAAGGAAAAACGATTAGAGTAAAGACTTCATTCCATCATCAGAAGACCCAATAAACTGTGAGTTTTCTACGTTCTGAATCGTCAACAAAAGCAATCACTTTAAAGTTGAGATCACATACTAGTTCCAACTCAGTATATCCAATACATACTCATCACTCATGTAATTAAAAAGGATTAATAAGCTCGAAATTTGTAACTTCAACACGTTACGTTACATAAGCATACGCGTGAAGCCAATTGGAGAGATTGCCTAATTAGTTTTGGCATTTACTGTTTAATGGTCTAGATTGTGTTGCAAGTGTAGCAACCAATCTAAACCGTTCATTTTAGACAAGTGTAGCAACTGATTGTGCATTGGTTTGGTTTGGTTTTTTTTTGGTTTTTTTTTGTTCAAGAATATAGGATCCCTTCGGATATTTAGGAAATTTGATTTGATTTCGGTTCAGTTATTATGATTTTTGATTCAGCTTGGGTATCAAAGTTAGAAACCGGCTAATATCCAAGATAATTTCAGATCTAATCTGACATTTGTTTAGTTTCGTTTATTCGGTCAATTCGGATTAAAAAAAAATAGGTTTCAGATGAACTATAAGATTTTGAATCAAACTCTAATAACTTAAATATTTTGGATACAAATATTTGGGTAATTCGATTTATAACTAGTACATTTAAAATATTTATTTATTTTAAAAAGTAAATATTATTAATATTAATAATTCTAAACTATATTATTCATGTATACATTCGGTTATTAATTTTGCTTCAATTTGTGTACTTCGGTTTCAGATAAATTTGCCTATGCTTATATATGATGGTGAACCACAACATGAGATGAGCACATCAATATTATTAAATTTGTATTTATTACTGATATATATATATATATATAACAATACTTTAATCTTAATGAAAGAAACAAACTCTTCAAAATGCCTTCTTGAATCTGTTCAGCCAGTATCTCATTAATCATTATTACTCCCTCCGTTTCATTTTAATTGTCATTCTACGTTTTTGCACACAGATTAAGAAAACATTTAGTTTTATATATATTCAAGAAAAAACACAATTATCTATACACCTAACCACTTTTCAACCAATAAAAAAATAGAATATCATATAAAATTAATAAATTTTGTCTCAAAATTTGAAAACGACACTTATTTTGAAACGAATTTTTCTCTCTAGAATGACAATTAATTCGAAACAGAGGGAGTATTAAATAACTAGACAATTTCTGTTATTTTGTTTTTTTTAGACAAAGACAATTTTTGTCATTTTGAAAAATTTTGAAGATAAATTTACATCTATGGTGTACTTAATTTAGAGTTTGAAGTTATTTATTTTAATGAGTTTTTAGATAGTTATATATAAATTTGAAAGTATAATATGATTTTAAACTACTCTAAAATTGTACATAAACCCATAAAATTAAGATTATTTATATATTTTAATCAAAAACTATATTAACATTCTAAACTCAGCTGAAATATAAAAAAAACTCACAATTTAATATATTATCAAATACTGGATATCAGAACAATTTATCAGAGATCAATTTAATAAACATAGTTTTTAATCAATTTTAAAAATTTATATTTGAATATAAATCACCTCAAACTTTCACTTGAATACAATTTCCGCATCTTCCATTTTGCCGAAAATTATCGTTAATTCCTATGAGATTTCTAACTATCTTAAGCTCGGCACGTCAGTTACAGAAGCTATATTTGAATACGTTGCCTATCGTACATTGTATATTTGTTTTGTCACAAGTTTATATAGACGAATCTAAAACGTATATTTGAGTGGATAAATAGAAACTCCACATTTTAAACGGTCCTACTCCTAATTGAGAGCTAGGACGTCTTTTCAAAATACGTTCCACAGATTTCCTGAAGCTTTTGGACCGTCCAAATTGAGAACTATAGCCTGCTAGGTAGGATTATTAAAAGACGACTTGCACTAAAAAGACTACATCCGTCAAGAGGAGAAATATTGACTATTGTATGAACTCTGCCGACGATATTATTATTAAACAAGAAGACCAAACGACGTAGACTACTAGCCTCATTTTCTATAAAAGCCCTAAGAGAGAGTTTGCACAAAATACAAACAACAAAAAGAACAAAAGAAGAAAGATCATTGTTGGTATAACGATGATGATGATGGGCGATACGTTTGGAACTATAGGCTCAAGCCTGGCAAGTTTGTTCTTTATTTGGGCAACAGTTCAACAAATCTTCCCTAACCATTTCAAGATTGCAATCAAAGAGTTTCTTTTGTCTTCATTCCACCAACTCGGTTTTGCTCAAAGAGTTTCAGATTATTTCACCAACATCTTCTCTCCTTATGTCGATATCAACTTCCCAGAGAGTGATGAATACCGTTTCAACCACGCTTTCTCGGCCATCGAGACCTACCTTGAGTCTAAAGCAACCAATAAATCAAAGCACCTCAAAGGAAGCCAGGTGAAGGAGAACAAAGATTTGGTCTTAAAACGAGACGAGGCTAAAATCAGAGATGAATACAAAGGAGCTAATGTTTGGTGGGAGTTTGTGACTGCTTCTGATCAAGAAAGATCTTTCAAGCTCACTTTTCACCACCGTGCAAGGAGTCTTATAACTGATTCATACGTACCTTATGTGGTTGAAGAAGGGAAGTTAATTAAAGCCAAGAAACAGCAGACGAGGCTGGTCACGAATAATCCTAGTTCTCAATGGGGGGTTTTTAGCCAAAACATGTGGAGATCTATTGAGTTTGAGCATCCCGCGAGTTTTGAGACACTAGCCATGGATCCAGAGAAGAAAGAAGAGATCATGAGTGACCTAACTGCTTTTACCAATGGGAAAGATTATTACAAGAAGATTGGGAAAGCTTGGAAGAGAGGCTACTTGTTGTATGGACCACCAGGAACCGGTAAGTCCACCATGATTTCAGCCATGGCTAATTTTTTGAACTATAACATCTATGATCTTGAACTCACGGCTATAAAGAACAACTCGGAGTTGAGGAAACTCCTTACAGCGACATCTAGCAAGTCTATTGTTGTGATTGAGGACATAGATTGCTCTGTTGATCTCACCAGAAATAGAAACAAAAAAGAAAGAAACTCATTGGAAAGAAATGGGGAACAGGATAAAGACGAAAGCTCGGTCACACTCTCTGGTCTCCTAAACTTCATTGATGGTATTTGGTCTGCTTGTGGACAAGAAAGGATTGTTGTGTTCACAACAAACCACTTGGAAAATCTTGACCCGGCTTTGATTAGGAGAGGAAGAATGGATATGCACATTGAGTTGTCTTATTGCACTTATGAAGCTTTCAAGATTCTTGCCAAGAATTACTTGGATCTTAATGACCATGATGATGATCCTTTGTTCAAGAAGATCAAGTCTTTGTTAAAGGAGACAAAGATTTCTCCAGCTGATGTAGCAGAGAACTTAATGACCAGAAACCATAAAATAGATGTTGATGGATCCTTGAATAGTCTGATCAAAGCTCTGGAGGAAAAGAAGAGCAGTCAGAGTCAACATGATGAAGACAAGAAGAAAAACAAGTTTAGACTATTTGGTTGATCCTTGAGCTTATATTGTTCCTCTTTTACTAGGGACTCCACTAAGTTTGCAATGTTTTAGCTTATATGATATTTCACTTCTCTAAGAATAAAATCTGCACCTTTTAATTTAGAAGTTGAACGAGAGTAACTAACTGAATAGACAGAGTACTACAACAATACATTAACCTGTGGCTGTGATGGCACGTATGCTTCCAAGAGCCAAAGCCTAAACTATTCAGTATCTTCACTTATACTCTTGACTAATAGGGAGATACAATCAGATCCTGAATCACATCTAATCCCATCTATGAAGGCTGCTAGATCTGATATATCTTTGATGTTGTGCAGTGTGGTTTACTGTAAGATTTACTTGCACTGCTTTGGTCGAAAATTTTCAGTAGATAACAGGGAAGTAACAAGAGTCTCCAGCCGTCTAGCGCCTAGACCAGGCCTGATAACATCGGTATCACCAATAACATCACAAGGGTCAGTTCCATTTTCACGGCTTCCTATGCACCAACCACCAGGTGTAGGCATACCAGGACCTCTGTTAAGAAGCTCCTCATCAATGGTGTCAAGAACAGGATCTTCTCTTTTGAACTTTCTAGCAAAGGGGGCATTGCTATTGACCATTCTATCCATGTCTGCAAGAGTGAGATGGTGTGGATGCTGCTTAGGCGGATTGTCCCACGTTATGAAGTGCAGGTCGCTGTTTACTGTTGTGTTTTTGAATTCCTCAGCGTTGCAGAGAACCGTGTGGAAGTATCCTTCCGGAGAAGAGAGAAAATTGGAGTAGTACATCAAGACGGTACGGGGTAGATTATCCCAACCCCAAATACAATAGTCTATGAATGGCCGAGATAACGCCATCCAAGCAGAGCCTGTTTCCATGTATCATATGTTAGTTTAAGAGAATCAAAATGGTATCTTCTGCAGAACCAACGGCAACACACAACACTCAACTTTTAAAGATCAAGTGAAAACATTTTCTAAGTACAAGTTTTGAATATGATGAAAGTTTCACCTACCAATCTAATTATATTCAGAGTTGTTCAACTAATGAGAAAGTGGAGCAAAATGATAAAGACCGACCAAACTAAACAGCTATGCAACAAAAAGACAATCAATCTAAGCATAAATATTCCGTGTTGTTCAACTAACTAGAGATGGATAAAATCATGGAATTCCAACACCAAACTAAAGCTCTATGCTTCACAACCAAGTCTAGGGCTTGCTCAGAGATGGTTTTAGAGGGATCAAGCACCTGTGAAGAGCTTGAAGGCTGTTGGGATGCTTCGTCTTTGCGTAATCCAAAAAACATCAGACTTCTTGTTCAAATACAACCCAGGATCAATAATCACCGGTTTTGCTCTCTGCGATCTGACACAAAAAACGTGAGCTTTTAACTAAATAATAAAAATAAAAAAAGATATAACATGTAAAAGAAAAAACAAAAATTGAAAGTCTCTCTGTTTCTCTTACGCTTTCCATCCAATGTTACTAGTATGATCAATGAAGTTCAAATCCCGCGGCAAATGCGAGAATATATGCAACAAATCTGCTTATTACAAAAAAACAACCCAACAAGACAAAACAAAGTTAAACCTTTGGAATAAAAACGAAAAGTTCCAAACTTTAACCACCATCACTAACCATCTTGAGTCATCAAAGGATAATCAGAGGAGCTGAGATTAATAAACCAATCCCACTCAGCTCCTTCCTTAAGCAAAACCGCCGCCGCGTGAAGCGTATTCGCCACCATCGTGGGCCCACGATACGTCACGAGATTAGCTTTCTCGATCACATGAACATTCCCAAACCTCCGAAACAAGGACGAGTTTCGAATGTACCCGTGGAGATCCTCTCTCTCCTCTTCCGAAGAAGCTCTGTCGAGATGAACAACGTAGCGGTTGTGAGGATGGTAAACAGCTAAGAGAGTTCGCCGGAGAGACTTCCCGTCGCCGGCGGATCCGGAGATTAAGTAAGCGAATCGAGGAGGAGTGGAGAGGGAGGAGATGGGTTTGGGTTTGATCTTGGACTCGACGAAGGAGGAGGATGATTTGGATCCGGTTAGAGAAACGGGTCGGGTGAGAGGGAGGAAACGGGGTCCGGTGGTGAGGAAGAGTAGGAAGAAGATGGAAGCGAGGAGGAGAGGGAAGAGAATGAAGCAGCATCTCCTCTGTTGTTTCTGGTGATGCCTAACATTCGAGTAATAGTTTCTCAGCTTCTTCATCGGATCTAAGGATTGGTCAATTCAAAGTTGACAACTTTTTCACCATTTTTTTCGGGTACGTTATAGAAACTGGAACTTTTTCAATTTGCTTCTTTTTTTCTCCTTCTTTTATTAATATAATAATGTGATCAATAGTAAGATATCACATCTTATATAATCAATACACTAAACCTTTAACCTGCCCGACCAGGTGGATATTTATTTTATGTTTTTGTTTATATTAAATGATGTATTTGTAATATTTAAATATAAATTTTGATTGAAATTTAATCTTTACAGTTAAAATAATTCAAAGTAAAAATTTAATAAAATATTCTGATATAAATTTTAAATTTCTTAATTAAAATAATATAGAAGTGGGTCATAATTTGTTTAATTCCAAAATCTTAGCATCACTTCAAAACAAAAAAAATTTTTATAAATAAATAAAATATATAAACATATATAGAACTATAAATTCTATTAAATAAATTTCTTAAAGAAAAATAAAATATTATTTATTACTAATAAATATTAAAATATTTAATAAGTTAATACCAAATATATTAGGAAATTTTTTTTGGTTAAGATTTGACTAAAGAAATCTATTATTTAAATTATTAAAAGATATTAAATACCTAAATCTATTATTTAAATTAGGAAAAGACAATCATGTTTAAATATAGGTTCAATAAATATCTCAATGACATTCTCGTGTAAATAATTGATAAAGTTAAAGTTTATTTCTATTTGGTACTCCTCTTTTAATAGTATAATAACTTCACCTATAAAATTTTTTTAGCTTTATTTTTAGCTATATATTATGTTGAAATAATCTAACAAAATCTTACAAAAAAATTAAATATATTATATAATAATGAATTAATTAATTTTGTAATTAGTACAATAATTTTATTCAAATAAATGTTAATTAGTTTGTTATAAAACTAAAATTATGATATTTCCATAAACTTTCCATTTATAGTATATATTATGCTAAAATAAAAGTACTAAATGAATTATTTATTTTAAGAAAATATTTCATTATAAATATGATTCACCATTAAAAAGAGTTTAACGTAAACCATGTATAAAATTTACTAAAATTATAAGTCTAAACTATTTGAAAAAAAAAATATATTTATTTATATATTAAAAGTATAGATGAGAAGTTATATATTTTAAACACAACCAGGAAATATAAATGATCCTAAAAAAATATCTATTCTATTGTATAACTAAATAAATTTTAAAAATATTTTGCATGCAAAATGTAGAAATCAAAAATATAGACTTTAAAGGGGGTTATCTGTTTTATTATTTCAAATTATTAATTTATTATACCAAATTTGAAATTATATTATTATGTAATAACAATTTATAACAAGTAAAAGTGTATCAAAAATCTTTATATATTAATATGTCAAATGATAAACAATAAAATTATAGGATTACATTATATATACCATTAAAATGCAAATTATGTATTTAAAATGTTTACGATATCAAAGTTATACATTTATAATATATGCAGAAAAAGTGCTCGACAATTGAAAAAGGTTAAAATCTTTGTCAGATTGAGAAACGTACATATGTTTTTTTTCCAAAAAAAATGGTTTCTATAATTTTGACTTTTGAGATTGAGATAATCGAATTACTAATTAGTAATGATCCATTTGATATTGTCATACTATATTGACTCATTTACAAGATGCATATTGTTTTAATAGATAAAAATATTTATATATTATGTAAGACCCAATTTAAATTTATATATGTTTGAATTAAATTACATCAAAATTTTTTGTTCTAATAATATACTTTCAAAAAACAAAAATCAAAATTTATTTAATATTCAATATCTTATTTTATCATTTCTATAAATATCTAATACTAAATGATTAAAGATTAGTGTATCTGAATTTTTTTAAATTGTCATAAATTCAAAACAATTACTAAACAATAATTATTTTCTTACACTACTACTTATAGCTTAAATTGAAATTAGATTTATTTGTTAGTTGTAATAATAAAAAATGAAATATAAAATAGTTTTCAAAATTTTCGAACTTTGCATATATTAGTTTGTCAAATAACTAAACAAAAATCTAAACAAATAATAAAAATTAGGCATTTAAAAATAATATAAATAATTATATATATATATATATATATATATATATATATATATACATAAAAATGAAAAAAACACCCGCACGGTTGTGTTGGCCAGCCAAACTCTAGTATGATTTTAATGTAGGTCTTAAAAATATCGATCATGTAGGTTTGTACAAAATATATCAGAATTCAAACTCTTTTTTATATAAAATCTAGCATGTTTATTTTCATATAATATCAAAATTTCAAATAAATAAACCAAATTAATCAAATTAACTAGACATGAACTTAAATCCAAATATATTATATTAAAAATGGAGTACATAAATGAACTAATCTTTAAACTAACACTTTAGTTATGATTAATGCTACTGAAAACTAACTAATCACAATCCGAAGCATTAATCAATCTTAATAATTTTTTCGTTAAAATCATTTTTACTATTTCGTAAATATTCAAACATATCAATTTTACTATTTCATAAATATTAAAGCATATCCATTTTCACAAAATGTTAAAACATATCATTGTTGCAAAAAAAAAAAAAAAAAAAAAAAAAAAAAAAAAAAAAAAAAAAAAAAAAAACTCAACCTGAAAATCCAATTCCCAATAATCATCCCAACAAAGTCCGAATGTTATTTGTTTTTATTAATTAATGAGTAAAAAAGATATGGATAAAAGTGGAAAATTATCAAAAAAAAATCATTGAAAATATATAACAATACTTATAATAAAACAAAATTTTATAGTGTACAATGATATTTAAAAATGAAACGGAGACAATATGATTTAGCACTTAGGACTTGAGTGATGTAATTGCAGCGGTTGTAGATGTTTGTGGATGCTGGTGGTTGCGGTTTTAAACATTATTAAGAAATGTATAAGACTGGTATAATGGTTAGAAATTAGTGCATTCCTGAGATTTTTATGGCTGGTTAGATACTAAATGCAACAAGAGCTAAATAATAAATTAAGAATATTAACACTTTATATAACTAGAAAATATAAGAATTATATTATTATATCTATAAATTCATAGTAGAAATTTTTAAAAATTCTAAAAAATATGTTTGTTTTATTTTTTTATAATATAAATGAACATATATTATATATATATATATATTAGTATTTATGTTATTTCAATTTAATAATGTTTTTCATATTCTATATTTATATAATTTGTTTTAAAATTAACTTTATTTGTCCTCCCATAACCACAAATGCTATCAAGATGATTTTAACAGGTTTGAAGTGGTGTAAAGCATTTAAAGTATTTTTATAATAGTTGTAAAACGTCAAAAACGTTAAATGTTTATGGTTGATATTGGTAAAACCAACGAGACCCTTAATCGTAGATATCAGGGGAAATCGTCGAATTCCTATGTCAATAGATCAATGATCCGGATCAGTACATAAACACATTATCTATGCGAAAACATACATTAACTAGTACAAAAGTCAATTTTCATACATTAAATTTCAAATTTAAATTTAACATATATTGAACTAATTTTTGTTAGTCAAACGTCAAGTTTTCGTTATCATGTAACATTAAATCGGCAAATTCCTACATCAACATAGACCAATGGTCCCGATCAATATATAGACATATCACCTATGCGAAACATACATCAACTAGTACACATTTTAAATTCAATACATGAACTTCATAAATCTGATTTTAATATACATTGATTAATTTTCACTAGTCAAATATCTCTATAATATTATTTGAGAAGCCAGTTTCCTATGTGTCGCGTTCACGTTAACTCTCGCGATGGTTGATTACATAGATACCCTTAATGAATTGTTAAATTTTAAGATTATTATTAATTTTTTTTATTTAGTTTCCTTTTTACCTTTTTTCGAAATAACATATATAATAAAAAGGAAATATGTCTAAAATTTTAAAACAAATTTAAAAACGAAAATATATGTATATAATATGAGTTTATTAAAAAGGAAAGTTCACAAAATAATAATACCCCCATTAATATATATTTTTAAATAACATAAAATATATTTTCAAAATAATTAAAATATATATGTTCATGAACATTCAAAAATTTATCAGTTACACTTTATTTCTAATATTTTTTAGAAATCAACATATAATTTGATAAATATTATGAAAATACATGTATATTTAAGCGATAAATCTTTATAATATTATTTGAGAAGTCACTTTCTTATGTGCCGCGCTCACGTTAACCCTCACGCTGGTTAATTACCGTGATACCTTTAATGAGTTAAAAATTCGATTAAATATTATTATTTTTTTTTAAAAAAATTCCAAATAACAATATAAAATAAAAAGGAAACATTTATAAAGTTTATAAAACTATTTAAAAACGAAAATATAAGTATATATAAATATGGTTTCATAAAAAAAAGAAAGTTTACAAAATAGTAATATTTAATTTAAATGTATTTTAAATAACATAAAATATACTTTTGAACTAATAAAATACTTTATATCTATATATTCTTAGATGAAAACAATATTTGTATATAATGTGATTCCATAAAAAAGCTTACACAACTAATCTTGATATTAGAAAAATAAATAATTTTCTTAAAAAATAAATTTAAATAATAAATATATATATGTATATTTTCAAAGTAATTATTTTTGTATATATCTATCTATTTTATTAGATGATTACATAAAATAATTAAGTAACATAAACGGATATATGTTTAATTGACAATTTTTTTATAATTAGTATTCGTGAAAATGTTTTTTTAATTTTTAGTATATGTATTTGACTATAATATCTTACAATTACAGCAACAAATATAAATTATATTTTACTTATATAATATAATTTCTCAAAAACAATAACATTTTTACTGCATATATTAAGAGATATTAAAAACAAAACTAAATAAATTTTAATAATAAACATTTTTATCAAATAACTAAAATTATTTTAAAATATCATAACACTATATAATTTAACAAAGTAGATATATTATATTTCAATAGTTAAATTAT